ATTTTAACTATTTGTAATTATTTTAATTAACTGGAACGTGGCTATCTTGGACAAAGTGAAGTTTTGTGTGTTGGTGATTTCTTTTTCTACTATAAATGCCTCTGATGATGGCTCCGTGGTGAGCCGAAACATGTAAGGCAGGTGCTGACGAGGTGGAAAACTTAAAAAAGTGTCACATTTGACGGAAGGAACTTGATTGTTAATATAGTTAAGTGTTTCACACATGTTTTCTTCCATTTTTGTTTTCAGTGTATTAAGTCCAAAATGCATCTTCTGTGGAAGAATGGCGGGCTCAAAAATTAAAATCCCATTAGGGGGAATGACAATGCATGTGATAAGTTTGGGAGTTTTGCTGATTACAGTATCAGGAACAAAGTTAAAGTATTCATGTGAGCACTGAATGAGAACTTCCAAAAAATGAGATGACCAGCAACCTATATATAACTGTCACTTGAAAAGAGATTCTGCAGACAGCTACCTTAACTGCTCCTTCTTGTATATAATGGGAGATGGTATAAATGAAGTACTAAGATACACTGAACTCTTCAGTGATTACAAATACTCAATATCAGAGTTACCTCAGCCACCTCAGTGAGATTCACTGATACTTGCCAAATGGAATGTCTACACAGTTTAGGAACATTTCAAATATTAAGTAGCATTACTTCTAACAGCAAACTTAATAAAGTTAAGGTCAACTAATAAACATTAAATAAAATTTGATGTTACTATCAGGCCTGCAGAAATTTCCTGTAAACCTAGGATCCAGAATAAAAACAAAATACCTCAGGTGAGAAATCTGCTCATCTTTGTTAGCAAACGCACAACTGATATATCTACATATAAATAACAGCCAATTCCTTTCATGCTCAGGGAAAATCCATTGCACCATTGCCGGGATATAGGGGCAAGTATGACAATACTGTAAACAAATGGAAGGGACAAGATAAAGGGATAGAAAAATGAAGAACTGGGTTGAAGGAACTCTTTAAATGTGAAGTAGGAGGAAGGAAGGGGGATATGAATGATGATAAAGCAGTTAAATAAAAATAGTAATCAGGGAGAAAGGACGGACACAATGGAAGAAAGAAATACCAGGTGTATGATAACAGGAACAATTTCTAAGCGTCATTATCAGAAGTCTAGGAACCATGAAAACCTGGTGCCCGAAATTTGCACAGACCTGATTATCAGCATTGGTTATTTATCTGTCCTACGTCTTACTAGATAAGTTTAAAATTTACATCCAGAAGTCATGCTCCTGGTAGATGATACAAAATGTAACTATATGCTTCTTGTCCCATGTAAGCATGAGACTTCTTATGCAAGCCTGTAAAAACGAACATAGGAAAGCACTACAACTGTCATGAATTTGACTTTATCACACCAAAATTCTGACTAACAATCGATTGCACAATTCAACTGCCCAACATAAAACAACTTTTTCATATATTCTCCAAATTACTGGGTTTTTGGAATTTTCTATCATCCAGTATTCTAGAAAATAGAAAGCATGATGTTTTGGAAACTGGATCTGTTTCCATCCTCAAGTGAGGGGGTGGGGGGGGGAAGACACCTACTCAGTTAGGTCCCTTAGAAAGAGCTAACCTGAATCACTTCTAATAGACGCAAGTGAGTAGGTGTCTTATACCCCGCCCCTCCCACTTGAGGATGGCAACAGATCCAGTTTCCAAAATGGAGTGTTTTATATTTTCTAGAATACTGGACGATGGAAAAGCCCCAAAATCCAGAAATTCTGAGTGTTATACGCCATTGTCAGAACCCTTCAGAATCTACTTTTCAAATATGGAACAAAACAATCACACAGCTGTACCTACGCTGAACTTGAGTTACCTGAAGCTCCACTGATCACACTAAACAGTGCCTGGCTGTTTCTCTTGAAACAGCCCACTTCTTCATCAGGCCACAGTGACTCTCCAAACAGTGAGGATAGATTGTGGCACAATTTCTGAAAATTTTGCCTAAGCACCTCTTGGTATTCATGCTGATCTGAAGTGATCAATTTGCTGTTTATCTGCAGCGCTGTGTAGCAAATCTTGACAAACTCTCTAAGAAGAAAAGAGAAAAAAAAACAGCCAAACAGATGATGAGGAATCACATGAAATACAACTGAAATGGTTTTGGGGCTCTTACAGTGGTGTGATTACAAAGAGATTCATTTTCTAGGTTAAAATATCATGTAATCCAGCAAAAGCCAACCAACTTAGAAGATTAAGAGCATGGTTTTCTGAGATGTTATGCTGCATAGTGTGGCAGACAAGTACCAATGTTTCAGAAGAATCTGCTGCCTCTATTTACCCTGAAGATGGAGGCAGCAGGTTCCTGCAAAACAGTGATATCTATCAAAGTACATGGCATTAAATCTCAGAAGATCATATCTTATAAGTAAGCACTGTAAGAACTTCAAATGTCACATACAGAGCCAAATAATATGAGGGAAACGATAACGAGCAGTACTGCCAAATACTGCTCCTTGCGCATATTTATATAGCACCTCTCACAACCCTATGGGCCTCCAGCTTTACCTTTTTACACACTACTTACTAACACATAATGACAGTTAATGGATTTGTTACCTCAGTAAGTAGCTCTGTACAATTGGGAAAGACTTGTAAGTGTGTCTCTAGAGCCCCATTTTGATACTTTGCCCACAATACGTGTTAACAGTCTCTTCTCTGTACATACAGAAGAATGTATGTTTGCTTGTTCTTTATATATTTCCACATTGTCATACCTTCTTCAATAAAATTTAGCATCATGACAGAGAATCTTCCTGGGTGGTTTTAGACACTTCAAAATTTGCTTGGTTTTGAGTCAAACCAACTCATTTCCCCACCACTTCCTCTGCAAGAAAGACACTGGAAACATGACAACTGGGACCGTGGCAGCAGTGCGATCATTGCCGGGATTGAGGGAAAACCCAGCCTATCTTCTGCAATTACATGTTCTTTTTCAGGAAGATCCCAAAGTATCTTCTGAAGTTGCTAGATTCGTTTAAAGGCTCTGTCTCTTATACATGTGCATTACACAAAGTCTCTTTGTGAACCAGTGGATTTGAAACTAAACTGAGGCAAGTCTTAAATGGAGGTAATTTAACTCTCTTAAATCACGGAAAACTCCATGGGGGCAGGGCCTGAGGGAAATGTGATGGAGCCTGGGCCTGTTACAAACGTAGGACACCAGCCCCACTCCAAAAGCCATTTAAATATATGATCATGTTTATTAAATACTTTAAAAAATCAGATTTTCTGTCTTCTAAACAATGAAAATGAATAGCAATGAATGGCAAAGAGTAAGTAAAAAACTGATTTATTATTCAATTAAATAGAATTCCTACATACTTGCTTGCTTGCTTGCTTGTTACAATTTTTTAATCAAACAAGATCCCCTAGGTCCAGGTCCTGGGTCACATTGCTCAACTGGCCCTCCCCTACATATGGGTTGCATGGGAATATCGTTCTATTCTAAAAGCTCATGCCATTGGCCACATGAGAGTTGAGACAAAGCAAATTTTGGAGACTTGTTCTGTCACCATCACCTGGGTCAGTGTGAACACAGACAGTGACAACAGAGAGAATAAGTCTCCAAAACATTGCTTTCTGCCCTAAGTTTGACATGTCTGATCACCTGGAAAGTTACTCTCCATGAAAGCTTTAAAATGTACAAGAATTTATACATGGTGTGTCCAGGGCCCATTAGGGCTCATTTTTTTAAATTTTGTCCTGCAATGCCATCTGCTGGTGAGTTGTGGCATTAAGATTCTTGAAGTTTCAGCTGTGGCTGTCTATAATTTCAAAGTGCAAGCATCGCTGCATCATGTGTTCTGACCTTGAATGTAACAGTACTGTTCTAACGTTCGTCAGAAAATGGCGGTTGAAGAGAGAGACAACATCAAATTTTGTTTGAAGTTTGGCAAAACAGCCAGAAAAGCATATAAAATGATGAAAACTGTGTACGGTCGTGACTGTTTGAGTCGCTCGAACATTTTTCGATGGTATCCTGTATTTCGTGACTGCATGGAGGACAACGAAGATGCTCCACGTGCATCAAAGCCAAGAACAAGTCGTACTGAAGAAAATGTGAAAAAAGTGACCGAAATCCTTGCATCAGACAGATGTGTTTCTGCAAGACTCATCGAGAGCTTTTGGGAATACCAAAAAGTACTGTGCATCAAATTTTGACTGAGGATTTGGGCAAACAGAAGGTCTGTGCGTGGTCTGTAAAACACGTGCTGTCAGGCAATGAAAAACATGCCAGAGTGGAACACTGCAAAGCCCAAAGTGATACAAAATTTACAAAATCGATTGTTACTGGTGACGAGACATTGTGCTTCCAATATGAGCCTCTCAAAAAGCGGTAGAGTGCAGCGTGGTCGAGCCCAAAGAAGCTGAAACTAAAGAAAGTGTGCATGCAAAAGAGTCGAGTAAAGACACTGCTAACCGTTTTCTTCGATTCCAAAGGAATCATTCACAAGAAATTTCTGCCAAAAGGTCAAACAGTGAATTCTAATTATTATCTCGGCGTCCTCAATCGTTTGTGGGCAAGAATTCTCGAATTCAACCTGGATATCAAGAGCAAGGTTCCTGGTCGCTCCTCCATGACAATGACCCACCCCACAAATCGAAGATCATGCGGCGCAATTTTTTGGCCAGAAAAGGGATCACAGTCCTCGATCATCCTCTGTATTCACCAGATTTGGCTCCAGCAGATTTCTGGTTGTTCCCAAAAGTTAAGTTGGCGATGAAAGGAGACTGTCACGACACCATCAGGACATCCAAAGGGAATCTATCACAGTTTTAAATGCAATTCCACAAAAGGAGTACAATGACTGTTTCTGAAAACATTTCAATCGATTCTAGCTATGTATTGATTCAGAAGCAGATTATTTTGAACAAAAAGAGAGAAATTTTGAAAATAATTCACGTCTTGTATTTTTAATGAACACAGTCCTAACAGAACCTGGACACACTGTGTAAATGTTCTCAACAGCAATTATACTGACACAAGGAATAATCACACATATATAATCCCATATTTCTATCAAAATCTGGTGGAGTCTGTATAATATGTTGCTGCTATATGCAGACATCACAAGAAAGAAAAGAATTAATGTACTCCACTGTTTCATAACCCAGGTTATCCAGGAGAGTGCAGGGTCATAATATAAATATGGTTCTGTGCCTTACTAAACACTTAAGACATATACTGGCAATTATTTCCTGTACAACATTTTAAAATTTCCATTATCTGCCATGTACTATACCAACAAGCAGTAAAAACTGAAAGCTACTGCCATCTCTTGGTTGTCTACAAGGACTACATGTGAGGAGGTACCACAAAAAACATTCCCAAAATTTCCCACAGTACTGAAAATACCCAACCTGAGCTTATCGGTTGTTGCACCATACAAATAATCAATGGTGAAGGGGGTGCAGAAAATATGACATTTTCTGATCTAGAGAAAGGTACAAAAGTTCAATCAGTGTAGTGCTAGGCTAAGGGGCTGGAAAACAGGAATCCTGGTTCGATTCTTGAGAGGGACGCTAGATTTTTCTCTTCCACCACAACCCATACTCTGGGCAACCACACCTCCTGTCCAATGGGCACTGAAGGCCCTTTGCCTTCATCACGTACTGAGGTTAAGACTGCATGGAGCAAATATTTCTACTCCCCCATTTGACTTCATAGTTTTGTGCCTCATTAAGCATAGGTACAACTTTCCCTTCATCTAGAAATAATGTATCACTCTTTACCTGAACACATCCTTCAGATCTTCAACTTTATCTTCAGGGTATTGAGCAGTCTGACTTGGGTCCAGAAATACCGAGGCATATGTGAGTGGGCCAGCGTTTACTTGGACACACACACTTCCCTGCAAAGTAAACACACATAATGAGAAAATAACTTCCTCATACTCACATCCATATTCATGCATGAACAGCTGGTACTTTTTATTCCAAAGTTGAGTTCAAAATTAGGAACACTTATATGCACATCAGTCCATTTTCTAAGAGATCTTGGGTTCTCATGATGATAAATACCAGGATTACAATGTTTCTCTTTGGAAGAGAGGGTTGTTTTACATTTTTTTTTTTGCTATCCCTGTAAGAGGTCCTGAAGGCCCACAGGGTTGTGAGATGTCATGGCTCCCATATTTTCTAGACAACTGGCTCACAGACGGCGGTGAGGTTGTCAGCCTTACACACCAGCCTGCCTACACTCCTAGAAAGATTCCTGGTACTCATTTCCATTAGAGGCTGAGTTGACCCCATGGCCATAGTGCAGCTGCAAGGATTATGTCAATTGAAAAATGCAATGATCTCATGGGGAATCAAACCTGCAACCTTCCATCCTGTAGCACACTGCCTCAACCAACTATGCTACCACTTGCAGCAATTTTATGACAGTATCTGTAGCTAACTATTAGTGTTGAGTGTTGGAATGATCAATGAACTGCAAAGGATTTTAAAGAAAGCAGTTATGGTCTCATTGAGGTAATATCCTAACATCTGCCTGGAGGGGGTCATACTCATGGAGCTGAGTCCTTCTGGAGGAGCCGCAAATTCTGCAGCTACTCAAGAATTTCCCAGCATTTTATGGAACCCAAAGGTTCAATACCATGTTCACAAGAGCCCTTCACTGGTCCCTGTCCTGAGCCAGATCTATCCAATCCATACCATCCCATCCTATCTCTCTAAGATCCATTCTAATATTGTCCACCCACCTACGCCTTGGTCTTCCCTGTGGTTCCTTTCCTTCTGTCTTTCCCACCAATATCCTATATGCATTCATCTCCCCCATTCGTGCTACATGACCTGCCCACCTCATCCTCCTTGACTTGATCATTCTAATTATACTTGGAGAAGAGTAAAAGTTATGAAGCTCCTCATTATGCAGTTTTCTCCAACCTGCTGTCACTTCATCTCTCTTTGGTCCAAATATTCTCCTGAACACCCTGTTCTCAAACACCCTCAGTCTATGTTCCTCCCTTAATGTCAGAGACAAAGTTTCACACCCATACAGAACCACTGCCTGGAGGGGGTGAGGAAGAATATGAAACCCCCAGTCAGGAGAGCCATGTCCCTGCCAAGACTCAAGCAAAGTACCTCCTGATCATGAGTCAAGTGTATTACCACCACGCCAAACATTTTGGTGACTACAAACGTCTTTTATATGATCCTGTGTATTTTGACAGACAGGTAGCAATGTCTCACAGGAATATTCTGCCTCCATCTTCAAGGAGGAATTATTTAACTCTCCATATTAAGGGAGTTACTTGTTACCATGGTGTGGTGCATTCAGACTGTGGACTGACAAGACAGCCTCCAGATATGAATGATACTTGTGAATACAGAGAACAAGCAGGCACAGACAGTCAACAGGGGTTAGTCCTTCAGTGTGGGGGATGAACAGGATTCCATTTTCACACAGACAACTAGCATGTTAAAAATATTACCTGGTGAGCTGGACTTATGCTTGTCTGTTCACAGATTGCTGCTGTCAGCAACTCAAGCTACATATGGTAGATAGTTTGGATGACAGTGAATTGGATAGAATTTGGAAGGAAGCAGTCACAGCATAATTTAAGGCACTATCCTGGCATTCACCTGGAGGGTCTGAAGAAAACGTGATAAACCTCAGTCATTGAAAGACAGTGTCCCTGTCGAGATTTAAACCATGTACCTCTCAAGTACAAGTCACAGCATTACTGCTTGGGCCAAACTGCTTGATCAGATTCTTTCAAATGACCTAAACGAGTTGAGAACGTTCGCGAACAAGTTCCACAGTGAATACTCGGGACACAAAACATAAGAAATAACAGGCTGAACAAAACCCCTAATTTGTTCTCTTTACTAAACACAGGTACCCCTCAATTTGCAGTGGTAATTCGTTTGATGAAGCTTAGGAAATTATATTCTCATTACATGTAGAAACAGCAAACTTGTTCTTGAGTCCCAGAAAAATCCCCTATAACTTGTAATGTTTACTTCACCAATGAATAAGCATTAAGATAGAGGAAGCCTTACTTGTTTAGGATATCTCTGCTGCCAATAAAACTGTATTATTTTATTTGTGTTTATCTCCCATAGACAATGCAGTGGAATGATGTATTTTCATTATTGTGAATCAAGATCCTCACACACTCCGACAATTTAATTCCTGGAATGACCGCAGCGTGTCACTGGGGTGAATCAAGCAAACTCACATACCCAAGCATGTCTGGACATGTTCCAACTTGTGTATACATGAGCCACAGACCAAATGAGCGGTTCGCTCCCAAGTAGCAGAGGAAGCAGTACAAGAACCTGGAGTAGTGGATAAACATCAAGTTTTGTGTGGAGATTGGTAACAGTGTTAGTGAAATATTAGTCTTGTTAACAGTGGTTTATGGCTCTTTCCAGAATTAAAAGAATGCCACAAAGGGACAAAGATTGCTCACATTCCTGACTTCTAATGCAATGTGACGTTACTGCAAGGTATTCGGGAAAATTATTTTCAAAACTGTTTCTGGCAGTGGCACCATCGTCTCACGAAGTGCACACCTTCACAAGGAGAGTATTTTGAAGGTGACAGCAGTTGCTGCTGCACAGGTAAGCAAATTTTGCTTTTACAGGGTCATTCCAGGAATTAAATTGTTGCACCTTGTATATCACAATATACACAAACAAGAATTTGGGGTGAAAAAATACATACCTCCTAAAAGTACAAGAACCTGTTCTTTGTTCAGGATAGGCTGGTTCCCCTACAAATATCACAATATATAGTATCTAAACTTTTATAAAGGAATGCCACTCAAACTAAGAAATTAAAGCCTATTAAGGTCATTTAAAAGTATGAAGAAAAAAAAGACGTAGAATAAGGATTTGAACAACATCCAAAAATTCTGTGAGAACTCCTGCGCATCACTTTCTCATCTGTAGCTACAGTACATATTGGCAAAAGTGCAGGGTAAATGTCACGTTTTTGGGCATTCTGTTTTAGGTTGAAGGATCATAACTCAGAAACCATTAATAAATATAAGATTTTACTGCATTTCCTCTTTGTGATCTGTGCATCATACAAGCATAGTGGTGCAAGCGCTACTTTAGCAGGACCCAGTGATGTATGCTTTATGAGAGATAAAACAGTAAATCTATGTATTTAGAAAAGAATGTAGACGTTGGGCACCAACCTGAAGCCTAAGCTGCAGTTTCTTGGCATCAGTTGGCTTCATGAATACAACTTCCTCCAGCTCATTAACTCTCATTTGCATCTCATCCAAAGCAACTTCAATTGGACTCAACTCCTGTACCTGCTGCTTCACCACGCAGATTCGTTTCGTCACATATGGGAATGAGTATCGAGCTGTCAAATGAACCACATTCTCTTCAGCTGAATTTCTTTTAATGATGCTATCCACAAATTACGACTACATACTGCCAATACACAGTGCCATAACCCAAACCACAGTGTGATCCCTCTCTACAGTGTTACCTATTCAGATTGCCTGTTAAGAGTAGTTCAGTATCACTTAACATAGCCATCATGGATTTATGAGTAAAACAAAGATATACAATTATACTTTATACGAATTCAGGCAAGACAGCCAGAGGAATAATCCATTTTATTCAATAAATATGGTAACTATTGGAAGAAGGATTCCAATTACTTGTAAGAATAGTCCTCCTCTTCCACTGATCCTCAGGAGTCCCACGAGCCTTTCCATCCATCGTAAAAGGAGTCTCAAACATAAAACACTTGATGTCATGACTCTGCTCAAATTCTGTTTGGCGTTCCTCCAGTTCCAGCTTCTCAAAGTATGGAGTTACGTGTGTAACTTGGATGTAAGCATACTTTGCATCCAGTTCACTTCGATTAATCTGTAAGTAGAAAGGTACTATGTAACCAGCTACATGTTATCACCATTTAGGCCAAGAAAACTTGAGCTTTACTTTTGTCATCTGTGCATAGACTTGAAAATGCTGGACATAAGGTGAAGTGACAAGGCAGTCACGCAGACAAACTTTTCACACCCATGCATGGTTCATTACACACTCTACGCCAAGAGGGATGGATCATGTAGATGAAGCTTGCTTATTTGTAATTTCATGTTGAAGACAAAAAGTGAAGAAAGTGAACGCTCTCTCTTTGTGAGAGGTTACAAAATGGAAAATATCATTTGCTTCAGTTACAAGTAAAGGGAGAACCTGGGAAATGCTTTAAGCTTACCAAATTCCCGCCAATTTGCTTATCAGTAGAAATATGCTCTAGTGCCATACTGTAAGATAATGTTTATTATTATCAGCCAACACAATCCTGGTATAAACACACCACACATCTGCATGTACTACATGTTTCTGGCTACTGTAGCCATCATCAGGTACATAGAGCTTTTAGTCACCCTTCCTTCCATCTGCCACACCTTCATACAGTGGCCATTGTTAACATGTTGGGAGTGCTCTGTACAGGTATGTGGTTTATGTAATGCCCTTATGTTATAAAATGTATCAAATATTAATATTAAAATTTTTAAAAATATTAAAATATTCTAATTGGAATTAAAATTGAGCTATGTGTTAAAAGGTGTGAGTGTGTGTACATATATACACAGTATGTAGACCCGTTGCTAAACAATGACTCTGTAACCAAAGCCCATTGTTGTTCAACAGATTCCTAACACGCACCAATTGACTAACTGGGAAGAAGTGTTCTCTATGCAGTCCATGCGATAGCTGTGTGATGCAACTATAGAAGACCTGTTGGAAGCAGCATTTTCTATGCGGTCCGTGTCAAGGCATTATAAGCAGGACAAGACTAGAGTTTAGCTAGTTGGGAGAGTGTCACCAACCAGTAAGGGCGAGAAGACGGAAGTTGAGGGATGTACAGCATTGAGAGCCATTACCAGACAACAACTGGTGAAGGCAGAAACAGACTGAGAAGACTTAGTGTGTGCTATAGTGAACTGTCAGTCAACTGGCAAACATGTTTTGGTTGTTCGAACAGTGAAAACAGCACAGCAGCCACGAGCAAACCCTGGGAGATATAAAGAACCTACACATCAAGATAGACTGGTGGCACAATATCTGCCCCATACAAGAGGGATGATGGGAGGACGAACATGAGCCTGCATGGTTTATGAATTTTAATTACTGACAATGCAAAAATTTTTAATTAGCATCAAGAAATTTTAAATAATTTTTAAAAACTTACATTCCCAGGAAACAGCTGTGTTTGTGAAATGTTCTATTCTGTGTACTATGCATTGTAACATATAAGTGTACGTACTTTACGTCTAAACAACTTATGTGAAGGTGGTTTCCTATTTGTAGTGACGTTTGCCCTCTGAATATGGTCCGCAGAGACCGAAACATGTAAGGGTGTTAAGTTTTTCATGTAGTAATAAACTTACAGGTCACATTGGATGGAGTGATTCATATTTGTAATTGTTAGCGTGACGGACCAGGGGGGGGGGAGAAGCGGACATTCTATCAAGTGGCTGGATTCAGCTGAAGAAGATCTGAAGAAAATGGGCATTAGAAACTGGAGACAAAAGTCACAGGATTCGGACCAGTGGTGAGCAGTGACAAGAGGCCAAGGCTCATCATGGACTGCAGCACTATTCACAGTCACTGCTGTGAGAAACTGGAATCCAGCTTGTTTCTCTGTTGGCATATTTAGATCATGAGATACTGTAACTTGTAAGCATGAAGATGCTAACAAACACATTCACTGCCTGAGCCTTGCACGAAGAATTTACTTGATGCCTGGCCACTTTCCCACAAAACTTACTTTCAACATGTTACAGTCAAACTGAAATGGGCAAGAATAAATAAAAAAACAATCAACAATCACTGCATGTTCAAATTCTTTTGAGTTTCTAAAGGCAGGACTTAAAAAGTTTTTCTGCATCTGAGTGACATCTGTAAGAGAAAAATGACATTTACATACAAAGTGATAACAGCCTGTCACTTCACAGAATCAAAACGGGAATGCAGTAAAGTACAACTCATCATGTGACATGCATGGAATATCATTTTCCCAAACAGACATCACCCAGAATCAAGTAACCTCTGTTAAGTGCAGATCGCCAGAGCCTGAAAGCGTCAGTATGTACACAGTAATTGCTAACTGTCTTTACTTGTTCTCTTCCATCTAAAGTGAAGTAAGTTCCGCGCTGCCCCCATCCCCTTCTGTCTCAGTAGAATGTGGCAGGCACTAGCCACCGATCCTGACAGCAGAAACACACGTGGAAAAGGTAGCGGTTGGTAAGAACTAAATAATACCAAAGAAATTAGCAGAAAATATTAATACAGTATAAAACAGACATATATATACTTGATTCAACTGAATACAAATCTAATAAATGATCTTGAGTCAAGATACAACCAAGAAAATATGAGACTGCAGGCACACAAAAGGAAACAACACAAAATCCCTGTTACAGCCCGTACGCTGTCTGCCTACTTGAGGCGGAAGCATAAAAATTAAACACCAAGGATAAAACAACTTACCTTGGCAGACCATATTCGGACTGGACTGCCCTGAATGGGAGGTAGAATGACAGCCGAAATGATAACAGAAGGAAGGGAGCCAAACCAAATTTTAAATCAGCCTTCCCGAGTCAGTTTCGCAGAGTGCCCATGGCATGATGGAAGGCAGAATGGAGAGAGGAGGGGACACATGCACTGGGATGACAGCATCAAACACAAACATGCTCAAAGGGAAGTTCTAAAGCACTCAAGTTCTCATGGAGAAACAGCTAGACAGGATCTAAAACCTTGCGCAGGGACTTGGCAATGAATGTATTGTTAACACCATCCCTTCATCAATGCTTAGATTCAGCAAAGTAGTCTCTTCCCTTCAGATTCTCTGACTAAGTGGTTGAGATACATAAAACCACACAACACTTACTGGTACAGAATCCATGATGATCTTCACGACATCTTGACCGAACTTATCACAATACAGATGATACAAACGTTCAGATATTTCTGACAAAGATGTCACCTTGGGTTCTTTGTATACATATTCCACTCCACTGTCCTCTTCAAAATATGCCTGTAACATGCATACATAGCAAATTATAACAGAGACCTTATAATTCTGTTGTTACTAAGAAAAATAACATTAAATTCATTCTAAACAATACTCTTTGCCACGAGAACACCATACACCAAATGTTCATATTAATCAAATCAGCCTTACAATCAAATGGGTCGGTGTAACGATAATATTCTGGGCTTGTATCTGGGAGTAGTCAGTCTGAATCTAGCCCAGGACACTGGCTATCCTGACAGAGGGTTCTTTACAGTTTTCTTCAGTACCTCCAATAAGTTATGACTGCTTCCTTCAAAACCACTTCAAATTTATATCCAGTACCCTACTATTTCACACTATACTGTCTAGCTGCTGAGAGCATTCTTGTCTCTCCCACTTGGAGCATGGCGCATCCATGAAACACTTGTTGCACTTTGGTTCCTTAATCTTAGACAGTAGGCAGGACTTCTCAGCCCTTCGCAAGGCCGCTACATACCCACAAACACAGAATAAACACAGACAAACATCCGTGCCTCAAGTGTTCGAGCGAGCAAAGACATTTCATGCCTTATACCATGCGGCCATTGTGATTTGCTGCTGTAATACAAGCTACAGAAAAAAAAATTAGCCCAACCTGTTCTAAACTATTACAGCTCAACCCCATGGTCTATGCATATCATATTAGCCAGGGTTTATCAGTCTGTGTGATACAATGACCCCTAAAATAATCTATAAATTTATGTAATCCCCTAAACTAATAAATAAACATACCATGAACCCCAACGATGTACCATGGCAGAAGGAACCTAAACATCTACATCTACAGTTAGCTACAAAAGTTTCACTGGCTGCTGCTTCAGTTTCCCAAAGTACTCGTATTAAATCTGACTACATTCTTGACCTGCCACAACCATGCATCAAACAACTCTATTTTATATAATCTTTCAGGAATCCTCCCTTCTGGTAGGTCAAGACCCCAGGCAGTCAGGACACAAAGTCTGAGAAACCATGACATCAGCCATCACAGTTTATGAAATGTTACAGTGATACAGCAAAAAGAAACTTTGTATGTTGTTACTCAAATATGTACATCTTCTAAAGACTACAATCCTCTGGGTTGAAATTCCGTGTAGTTTGCGAGAAGGCTGATGTTTCAGAGCAACATATCATCTTCACCTTCAGGGTCAAAGAGTAAGCCAAGCAAGAAAACAAGAGAAGCAGACCACAAGCAGTTCCTCCAAAACATAAAGGCTCTACCCAAACTACATGGCATCACAACCCAAAAGGAAACCCCTCTTTATGTGTAATGGCTCTGCCCCTGCATTTATGCCTTCCACCCACAAAACCCACATGAGGAGCATCCCCAGCCATGAGAGAAGTTGCCACGCATGCCCAGAGAGTTGCAAATACAGTTTCTTTGACCATATTGATTCAGTTGTGTCACTCCCTGCTCCTTCTCCATCATGTTCAGTGTTTATTAAATGTTTCCCCATGTGTGATTTTCAGGAACACATCTGCACAAGAGTCACTTGTACACGAAATCTATGAAAAACAAATGGATGGGCCTTTCTTGTGTCTTAGTGAGTCAGACACGATCTGTTAGTGTGCAAAGAGTCATGAGACATACCTGTCCAAAGAATGCCACGCGGTAGTATCGCCCCAAGAGTCTTTTTCCCGTGCGTGACACTTCCACGATCTTACTGTAAGCCTGTGCCAAGCTTTGGTAACACTGAGCCAGTGCTTCGTAATTGTGTTTTCGCTCATGCATCGGTATGATCAGCCTGTACAGTTCTCCCAGTAACTCGTACCGTTCTGCCTTCTCTAGATATTCAGCACATTTCTCCAGTTGCTCCAGCAGAATATATTCAGTATACTGGATGTCTTGGACTCCTGCAAGAACAGAGTTACAAACATCACACCTACCCGCAAAATGTAACACAGTTCAAGGGAAACAGAACTGTTACTTGGAGGCTATCCAATAACAACCTTCAAATAATTTTGACATCTGTAGCTCAGTGGACTATGATTAAAGGTATTGTCATGATTTTAGGGTGTGGCTATAGATGGGGTATAGACTAGTATATAGTTTAAAAAAAACTTTTTAACTCTAAATTGTGATAAAACACAGTTTTTACAATTTTCCCTAAAGAAGCATAGAGAAATAGAAATCCAAAGTACAATTACTAATACATTAATTACAAATATTAATTGTTCAAAGTTTTTGGGAATAAATATAGATAGTTCATTGTCATGGAAAAATCACTTAACTTTATTATCAGTAAGACTAAGCAAAGCATGTTTTGCAATAAGGGCAATAAAACCCTTTATGTCATTGGATACAATAAAGACGATTTATCACTCTTATGTGCATTCAATATTGAAGTATGGCATTATCTTTTGGGGTAATGCCCCTTTTAGTAAGAACATTTTTAAAATACAAAAAAGAATCATAAGAATTATGTCTGGATCAGGAAAATATGATTCTTGTAGGGAATTGTTTAAAAAGTTACAAATATTGCCACTCCAATCTGAATATATTTTTTCTTTGCTTCTCTTTGTTATTAAGAATAAAAATTATTTCAAATTTAATACAGAAATACATAATATTAATACCCGTTATAATTACAATTTACACTTACCCTTTACAAATTTATCAATTGCACAAAAAGGAGTCCTGTTCTCTGGAAGCAAATTGTATAATAAATTACCTTTGAATATTAAATCATCATCTGGAGAAATTAAGAAGTTCAAATTTTTATTGAGAAGATATCTCACTGAACATGCATTTTATAGCATTGATGAATTTTACCAAACTACTTCCCGATGAATATTTTTATAATACTTTATTAATAATTTATTTTTTAACACACGATTACATTAAATTATGTAAATGATTTCAGACTATTGTATGACTGTGACAGGTATATATGATATTTAACTGGTATGTGAGGCGTTATATTTATTGCTTATATTTATCTTGAAACTAAAGCGCATAATAATCTTTTGTACTTAATATATTTTGGGTGGAATTGTATATAGAAGATTCATGTTACTGATAATTTAAATTCTTTGTTTTAATCTGTTTGTATTTAATGAAATTGTTATTACACTGTGTACTATTTTATATCGTTTTTATTGTTTATCTTGACTGTTTCAATGTTTGGAACTTATTTTAATATTATTATTGACATGTTCTATATCCAGGGTTGTATTTCAACCTATGTTTTGGATTTACTAAATTTGAAATAAATGAATGAATGAATGAATAGGGAATGAATTTACTGATCACTTGCATACACCACTCAGAACTACACTTTACAGTTCATTAACACACACTTACTAGTGTCCTCAGTCTATTACAGTCTCAACAAAGCTGTTTCCTAGAAATGGCTTCTAACAGTGGACATTTTCAGCTTCCCGCGCTCAGGTACTCTTGTCACAGCCACCTGTTCAGAACTCGTCAACTGACAACTAACTGGGTCCCAGGTTGGCGGTCATTTCACACCAACCTCCTAGTCTTCTCTTCACAGGCTGACTTCCAACTGACAACTGAACCCTCTCACTCACCAACCAGCTACTTCATGTCACTTCACTCCACTGAACTGCCGACAACTGAATCCTCTCACTCACCAACCAGCCACTTCATGTCACTTCACTCCACTGAACTGCCGACAAGTGAACCCTCTCACTCACCAACCAGCCACTCCATGTCACTTCACTCCACTGATCTGACGACAACTGAACCCTCTCACTCACCAACCAGCCACTTCATGTCACTTCACTCCACTGAACTGCCGACAACTGAACCCTCTCACTCACCAACCAGCCACTTCATGTCACTTCACTCCACTGAACTGCCGACAAGTGAACCCTCTCACTCACCAACCAGCCACTCCATGTCACTTCACTCCACTGATCTGACGACAACTGAACCCTCTCACTCACCAACCAGCCACTTCATGTCACTTCACTCCACTGAACTGCCGACAACTGAACCCTCTCACTCACCAACCAGCCACTTCATGTCACTTCACTCCACTGAACTGCCGACAAGTGAACCCTCTCACTCACCAACCAGCCACTCCATGTCACTTCACTCCACTGATCTGACGACAACTGAACCCTCTCACTCACCAACCAGCCACTCCATGTCACTTCACTCCACTGATCTGACGACAACTGAACCCTCTCACTCACCAACCAGCCACTTCATGTCACTTCACTCCACTGAACTGCCGACAACTTCTAACTCTGGAGCTTGACTGATGCTGCCTACAACATTTTGGCATGAACTACATACAAACACTCTTTCCACTGTTACAGTATAACAATGCCTCGATTGTTGCATGCATATCCGTTGATGTTGGAACCCATTTACTGAGCAGTTGCCTAGAAATAGCCCAGGTATTGTTGACGTGTTTACCAGCCACTGCTTGGAAACAGCTGTTAGTTTATCCACCTATGGCATAGAAACAGCTGTACTCATCCATTTCAAGGCCTCTGCCCAGCAACAGGTCTATATACCAGGGAATTTTACAATGGTGTAACACAATGTTTAAAGCAACTCTCTGGGATTTTGTGCACCATATATACAACAAATAATGCTGTTAAGCATGAAATTTATCATTGTCATTATACAGTTTCAAGTTATCATAGCGACAAATAGTGCCTGAACAAGTTACTCATAGAATAATTATGTAGGTCAGTGGTTCTTATTCATAAATTTGGATAGATTCTAAAATGTGAAAGCGGCAAGTGAAACAAATATTAAATCAGTACTTCAGCACAGAACTTACTTTTATTCAACCTTTATAGTCCAGGTAAAGCTTGCACAGCCCCTGGCAGACCCAACACCACACTGCTTTCACTATAAATCCCATTACCACCATTACACTAAAATCCAACTGCAGCACTGTGACTGCAGGCAATTCAAATTCCCTATTCCTGGAGGGTGAAGATTAATGCAAGTCTGAGGTGTTCATGGTGCTTACTGCCTGGATTGTGGTTTTGTGAGTTGTGAGACCACCTTCATCGCTGATTCACTCGTTCTAGCTGCGGAGGCCAGTGCTTCTGTGTTACCGGTTCTTCCACCATGCACTATTCCATTTCTTTCCATTTCGGAGGGGGTCAACCCCTCCACAGTGTCAAATGTCTCACCTCTCTTAATCTACTGGAAATCCAATGGTTTCCTTCACATCCTCCAACTCAAGAGCTTGTCCAAGAGCCTTGTGTAATGTCTTCTAGGAATGGGTACCTTGAAGTTTCGGCTCCTTATTCTGTTGTCTCCCGGGTGCGCTCAATGTCGCTTCTGGAGCGCTTGTCTTTCCTGGGATCATGCTGCAGCATTGTCCCTGTCCCTGTGTCTCCTACGCTGTGACACTTTTGCGTGGCGGGTCATCCTGATTCTCTCAGCGGCCAGTTCCTTCCACAGTTGACAACTTTCCTGGGTGTTGTTCGCCCTGAGGATGTCTCTCTTGAGTCGTGTGCCACTCCTGCATGGCGGCACATCTTCTTGTCATTTTTCTTAGTCTGCCATGTCACTTTCACACACAACTCTTTGCAGCCGGCCTCCATCTTAGCTTGGTTTGTTCTCATTTCTTTTTGCCAGGTTTCCATTTTGGTATCCATCCTTGGCAGCATTTCCTCTCTGTCAGTCTTGCTGTTGGCATCTGCCTTCGCCTGGTTGGCCATCATTTCTTCTTTGGCAGTCTCCATATCGGCACCCATTTTCGCCAGCAGGCAGTTGAACAATTTTTCCATCTCCATCATGTGGCAGTATAATGCGTTCTAATTTGTTTAAGTTTAATGTGTTTAAGTTCGTAGACACTTCTGACACCAAACTGTCATGTGTTGGGTGTTTGACGCGACAAGTAACTTCACACCATTTTGGATCTTAGCAAATTTATTGTACACTCGCTCTTACACTTACACAATTCACAATTTCATAGTTACTGCCATCTGCAGTGTCACAATTACTTCTCCTGCTGTATTCACTTCCATTCACTCAATACAACTCAATTCATAGCTGCTGGACTTCAACTCATACTGAGTACTAGTAACTCTCTCTCTCTCTCTGGTTCTACACTGACGAATCCTCATTATGTAGCTTCTGCACTGACCACACAGAAAACAGTTACGTGATAGCTACCACTGTTGCGTGACATTGTGTTTACCGATCGTCTAGCAACAGTTGCTGCACGGCCTCCCCTGTTGCATGACGTCACAGCCTAGTGGTGAGGGGTGTTTACCTAGCGTTGAGTAATGATGGAAGCAGTGGGGGTATGTGATGTCACTCGTGAAAACACAGAGTTCACGTGACCCCTACTTCCTGTTGGGCCATCCATGTTACAATATAGTGTCCCAGGAGTTTGGTGCCATACTTCAGGAGTGTACTGAGGGTTCCCTATAGAATAACTTTGAAATAGGAACCCATGTCCGCAAACGTAAAATAGCAGCACTAGGGCAGCATTTAAAATCATTTTGTTTAAACTTGGCACCTCAATGTTGAACTGCATTGCATAGAGGAACAGCCATCCACTATCACTCGTGCCATTGCCAAGATTGTGGGGACATCAAAATCAAGTGTTTGGAGGATCCTCCATGACCAACAACTTTATCCATATCATCGAACGCGAATACACGACGTAGGTCCAGCTGACTTCGTACCACAAGTTCAATTTTGTCAGTGGATACTGAACCAGTGTTTCATCAGCCCAACTTTCTGCATCACGTGTTCTTCACAGATGAAGCGCATTTTACAAGGGATGGCTGGTTCAACTGTCGAAACAACCACGTTTGGGCTGATGAAAACCCCAACGTTACTGTAGTTGGTTACCACCAGGCACAATTTTCTGTCAATGTCTGGGCAGGCATCATTGGCGATCACTTGATTGGGCCTTTCCTCCTACCACCGCAACTCAATGGGCCCTTTTAAAAGGTGTTCCCGGAACATATCCTTCCGACTTTGCCAGAAGACATACCACTGATTGTGCGGAGGCAAATGTGGATACAGCACGATGGAGTACCGGCACACTTCAGCATTGTATCACGAGACTACCTGGACGCTGCTTTGCATGGTCGTTGGATAGGAAGAGGAGGCCCAGTGCTTTGGCCACCCCGATCCCCAGACTTGACACCTCTGGACTAGTTCGTCTGGGGCCATGTGAAAAGCCTGATCTATGACATGCCTGTGGATAATGAATTCGAGCTGTTGGCCAGAATACTTGTTGCATGTGACATGATCCGTGAGACACCTGGAATATTTGAAAGGGTGTGCAAAAGTTTCTTTCATCGATGTAACATAGTGTGACATGTTGAGCTATGGATCACCCCTACCTCCCCAGCGNAAGTGATGGATGAATGGGACACAACTGGATCTTCTGGCGAGCTGAAAGGAAACCGCTTGAGACGAGTCGATCTTAAGAAGGGAGCGGATGTAACGGACAAAGAAGATGCTGCAAGAACAGCCTCCGAAGCGAAGGAACGGGGATGCACCGTTAGGCTATTCGGGACGAACAGCCTTAAGGAGGGAGCAGTGTGACATGTTGAGCTATGGATCACCCCTACCTCCCCAGCGGTACGTGGCGGTAACGTAACGCTCGCATTACTACGGTAATAGGCGAGTTCCCGCCCCGCCACTCCCCTCCGCGTTGACGTAACGCGCAACGCGCGGTGACGTCACGAGCGGAGCCGAAGAGAGCCGAGCGAAGCCAAAGATAACCGAGCCCCGTAACCTGGTAACTACGCAATGCGAGTCAACAGCGGTGACGTAATAGGATGACGTGGCACTCATTACGCAACCGGCAACCACGGCAGCTATATAAGTGAGGTGCACAGCTGGTATGGACGAGTTCTAATGTGGCTACCAGAGAGTTCTACTGTAGCAGCCGCCTAACACAGTTGTACTGTGACATCCGCCGAGTTATAAAGTAACAGTCACCGAGTCAGTTGTATTGTGGCATTTCGGGTGTACTATTTGTGATACTGCAGATAGCAGTAACCGTAAATCTGTAATTTGGGTGATTGTAAGTGTGAATGTGAAATAAAATTCGCTGCATTGAATACATCGAGAATTTATTTGTCGCGATATACGCCCGATACGCGACAATATGCATTGAAAATGGAGGGCACCAATTCCAACTTCTACTCTAGCAGGTGAATCTTAAGAGTTTGGAGAGGGTAATATGCCTGTGCATGCTCTTCGAAACTGAGGCACCAAATTTAAACCAATTGATATTAAATGCTGCCCTAGCACTGCTATTTTAAGTTTGCGGACATGGGTTCCTGTTTCAAAGTTGCTCTATAGAGAACCCTTAGTATGCTCCTGAAGTATGGCACCAAACACCTGGGACACCCTGTATATGTGTGCGTGTGTGTGTGTGTGTGTGTGTGTAGCCTTGTTGGAGGATACTGACATTTTGGAAGAACATACTGGACACCATCTTCAGGACTGAAGTTCAGTATTTCATCACCTGGTACTCCGCTTCGTAACAGCCAAGTGACTCTCAGCATACCACATTAAATTAGGTACACTCCATCTGAATAGTGCACAGCACTAATGCAGATAATTAAAAGCAAAGATTGTAATATCAACATACTTCTGGTATTCATATGCCTAAAGGGAATTCAAACACTTAAACAGCACTTTTCTACTGTGAAGTATAAGTTATAACATACATTGGTCTGTATAGTGGATGGACATTACTATGCTTTATTTGAAGTATGGTACAACTAGAGGGGTAACTTCAGAAATAAATGCTTAATAGATCATGGATGGTCATGGTGTAAGGGTGGGTGTTATCACTCCTTCCATCCAATATAATTTAATCTACAACGCATGGTAATGTTTTGGACGTACCAGCTGCTTATACGTTTGCTGCAGACAGACGATGGGGGCAGCAGGTTTCTCCAAAACATTTGTCAATCAACCTACACAGATGGCTGTGCCATAGCTCAGGTGGTTAGTCGCCAGCTTTCCACAGAGGTAGTCGGGGTTTAATCCCAGGTCAGATTATGTGGGATCTGTGGTGGACAAAGCAGCACTAGGGTAGGTTTCCCCCGAGTACCTCAGTGTTACCTGCCAATTCTCTGATTGCCCCACACTCATCATCATCATCTATCCATCTGGGGCTGGTAAGTGGGCCAAACAGTGGCCGAAGTACCTAGTAGACTCAGTCTCACCCCACCCCAAGAAAAAGAACCTACACAGTGTCACATCCCAGAAGACTGCAATTGCAGTAGCTTCTAGTTCCACGGCATGCAGCTATCCCTTACCTGCATCCAGTTTCAGACTCCGCTCATCCTGGGCAATGTTGGAGGAAATTCTACTGAATGCCTCAGCTCCCCAAGACTGCACACTTTTAAGCTTCAGATACTCAGCCATGAGGGCTGCAATGTGCAACTGACATGATGCCGCTTCGGAGAAGTTGCCATCACGGACATGATTCCTTGCCATTGTTTCTAGCCACGTGTGTCGAAGCTCTGGTGTAGAAGCATAAGAGTTGGCTAGACTGTGTTGCAGGTCAACAAGCATTTCAGGATCATGGTGATGTTCTCGCATTTGTGCCGTTGCCATCAACACGGTTCGAATACGTTTCGTCAGGTCCTTAACTTCCCCAGGGAAGCCTAACAGAAGAAGCACATAATTATATAATCAGTCTAAGCAGAGCAATGTTCATCTTGTCTGAGAGGATCTGATGCATTTACTTGCCATGAGAACTTCTGTCCTATATTAACAGATGTGTTTTCTTGGCTCTGAAATATGGTATAGTATTAAATGCAGATCTAAGAGTCAAACATCATATTTTCAGGCCCTTACAATAGTAGGTCTACACTACATTTCACGCCTTAAAAAAATTTAATGCTATATCCTTGGTTCAAACTATTATTTTGCCTGTGGTTCTGTATCGGTGTGAAATTTGGTCTCTGACATTAAGGGAGGAACATAGACTAAGGGCATTTGAGAACAGGGTGTTGAGAACATTTGGGACGAAGAGATGAAGTGACAGGAGGTTGGAGAAAACTGCATAATATTGGGCTTCATAAATTTACTCTTTGCCAAGTTTAATTAAAATGATCAAGCCAAGGATAAAATGGGCCGGGCATTCACCATGCACAGAGGAGAAGGGGAATGTATATAGGTAGATTTTTGGTAAGGAGACTACCAGGAAGACCAGGACATACCTAGGTGGATAGGAAAATTCTTAAGTAGCTGTGCAACTGGCGGTTTCTCACGAAGGGATCAGCTCCATGGAGTTGGTTAGTTATATTCCTGGTTCCCTTAATGGCCCTTTCAATGTCTCACACTATAGTGTCATTTGATAGGAAGGTCAGTGAGAAATAAACTGGAGAAAAATGTTCTGAAGAAGAAGCATGAGCGCCAGCCACCAGAGCATAATGTTCAGGTTTCACATTTTGCTAAACTGCTCATGAATTTTTATTATGCAACACAAGCACAGCCCGCGCGTAAGGCTAACAACCTTACCGCCATCTTTGAGCCTATTGTCTAGATAATGTGGGACCCTCAACATCTCACAACCCTATGGGCCTTCATGGCCTGGTACAGGGATGGCTTTACTTTTTTTACTTCTTTTAACACATTCTTAGAGCTTCAAAATACTGTAACATACTAAAGAATTACCTGTTCCTTTCATGACTTTGTCACTTGAAGCGTAGCTATTGATGAGAGAAAGAGATTCTTGAAACCGAGCATTGTTCAGTCCTATTACGTTTCCCAGCATCTGGGACACAGATATGATTACCTGCAACACACAGTGATAATACCAGGTATTTAGTATGATTCCAGAGAAGGAATAAAAATCAAATAATTTACTTACTGTTAATTAATGTCTGGTCATCACATACTTGGTTTCTTAGTAAAAATGTTGAAAAAATAATCACGGTAGATTTGAGGATCTTCTGGGTGTGAATATGAAGATTACTGCTGTCTGGGATGTGACTGTATGCAGTCCTGTAGATGTTCACAGGAGTTCAAGAAGAATGCACTGTCTGTATCTTCAGGGCATAAGAATACTTCTCTGTCTTGAAAAGGGGGGCAAGACAACACAGCATCACATACATGAACACAATAATCTTCACTTAAACAGTTCCCTATCTCTGGCACCGGTACTGCCGTGACAAGTTTCTCATCATACACTTCTATATAAAATGCTATAACCATCAGCAACAAGTATACCAACAGCTTGTTAATCACAGTGGCTGCACAGTCTAAGGCATGCACCGTCTTTTCCCGCTTGAACACTGGGATCATGGGTTTGAATCCCAAACGAAGCGTGTGTATCTGTGCGCATTTATTCTGTGATTGTGTTGCCATGTGTAGGTAGTAGCCTTGTGATGTGCTGATCCCCCATCCATGGAGTCCTACCAACTGTGTACAGGATTAAAAAGCTGAATAAGCAGCCAAAGTCCAAAGAGCTATATATATATATATATATATATATATATAGAGAGAGAGAGAGAGAGAGAGAGAGAGAGAGACTGATGCCAACAGCTTAATTCATGACTTTATGATGGTGTCAAAGTTAACAAAACAGTGAGAATGTTTTCGCAGTGATTCATTTTATAGCTTTTTGTGTTGATGGCACTGCTTATTTTGCATGTAGGTTCAGAGGAATAACCTCCCAACATGATGAAGAAATATTTTCCACCTTGACTGGCCAAACAAGGCTGCTCTGCTTTCCACATGCACCAAAACTCAAAACTCGCTATCATCAGTTCTTCTGCAATCGTCTTCAGTTCACCTAGCACAACTAACGTTGCTGTGTTGACGTCACGAAGCCGCCACTGACATAGCTCTCCAGTACCAGCGCCAGCAGACAGCTGACCTTGCCAGCAAAAACAACTGATTCTATCGGCGCACACACCTCAGCACCACCGATCAGTTCATAATCCCCGAGATGTCATAAAGGAGACCCGGCCTGCTGCAAGGAAACCACGGTTGAACAAACGGCCCCTTTTAGGGCCAGCAGATTTTCACCATCGCCACCGGGCTCAGCTGGTCGCTACGGAAGGAGTCACTACCAGTACCTATCAGGCAAGCTTCCCACTCTAAGTGCAGTGAATATTTATTGTTACAGACTCAAGTGGTTGTCTCTAAAAACACTGACATTCCACAGAGCATTCCAAAAACATCTTTTACATATGCAGGAGGTTGAAAACATGTAAATTTCAAGATCAGTTTTCTACACTTCACAATATTCTCTTATATTATATACAGAGACAGGAAAAAGTATGAAGAGAATGACACAAAAGGAAAGGATAATTTAACACACGTACTTGGAGATGGACCCTGGTTAGTCCTTTACGACTAGTGAACTCAAAGTTGCTCCTCATCAGTAGATACAGAATAGCACATGACTCCTGACGGATAGTAGACAATCTGCTGTTACAGCAACGCAGCAGCTCATAGCACAGTCTTCCACATAGAGAAGCATTGCCTGCAGCCACACATGAAACCAATAACACACTCTGTCACTACCACATAAACCAGAAGACAAATGATTACTACAAGTCCATCATCACATTTTCATTGTTAAGCCTATTGAGATGTATTGTGGTTATTAAATATTGAGCTGTCCCTCTGTGCTTGACTAATTAAACATTATGCCACGAAGGCATTTAAGGGAGTGGGGAGTGGATGTATAGACCCACATTTTCTTGACCTCGGCACTAGTTCAAGGTGAGTGGTCAGCTTCATGCCCTGCCACTTTACCCCAGGGGAAAGAGCCCCCAGTATGCACCGGATAGGAGGCTGGATGAGGCCTGGGGCCTGCCTGGACAATGTGGAGAAGAAAAAATTCTTGACCCTACCATGACTCGAACACTGGCCCCTCAGTCTTCCAGCCCAAAGACAGTTGCTATACTGAATGTGCTATCCAGGATTCTATTGTATGCATTACAAAACAGAATCCTTCTATCATTTCTGAGGGACACAATGGACAGGAAGCATTTCTAATAGCCTCTGCTCTTCGTGTCTGCACCCCTTGAAAGTCTCATAGTCATCTTATCCATACTCATTTTCATCTTCTGTTCGTTTGCAATAAAGTTCCATCAACTTAGTTCCTCTGCAACTGGACCTATCCCTTTCAGATTTGCCCAAAACAAAGGACTGAGCTCATTGGTGCAGTGTTAAATTCTAGACTTGTATCCAGGTGGTACTTGGTTCAAACCTCAGCCAGGACACAAGCTATCATGACTTTGGACTTTCGTGGTTTTCCCGTCCCTCTAAATAGATGCTGGGAAGATACTTCTATCAGGCCAAGCCACTTCCTTCCAAATCCTTTCCAATTCATCAATCACCCTACCATCTGACACAATGCAGTCCAGTCATCGATAGCATAGTAATATAAATAAGCTGCCAGAGATATAAGGCATATCTGTCGACAAAGTTACTGAGGGCAGAACATGTAACAGACAGCACGTTATAAGAATGAAATGTGAAGTGTAACTCACTAACCTTGAAACAGAGCAATGGAGAAGTTGTTGATATAGGCACGGAGAGCAGCAAACACGTGGCGGAACAAAGTTTCTGACTGACCAACCTGCAGGAATGAGAGGTATATGTCAAACACCTTCTTCATGATGATATTATCTCCCTCAGAAGCAAGAAGATTATCCTTGAAATTGATGCAATAGAGGCCCAGCGCATCCAGTGCGATGAGCCCCACCTCTGTTGCCATGTTTGCTTCCAGCAAGGCTTGATACAGCTTGCTCGAATCACTCTCACACACTGTAAAAGGAAAACTCACGAATAAGAGCAGTCTAAAAAAGAAATTATAATAAACACAGACACAAGGCAGACAGAGAGATTTACAGAAATAACAAACACATGCTTGAAATAGATGATGTTACAGACTGCACTCATTTATGCTGATGTACTGCCTGTGTTCTTAGACCTAGTAAAAAGGTAAATTCCTGTGCTTAACTACTTATGCATTACACCATGAAGACATATGGGGAGTGGATGTATACATCCATGTTTTCTTGACTGTGGCAGACTGTGGCACTAGTTGGATGAGTGGTCAGCTTCACGCACCAGCCGCTTTACCCGGACAAAGAGCCCCTGGCACCCACTGGATAGGAGGCTGGTTAAGCCCCAAAGCATATCTCAATGATGTGGAAAAAGAAAATTCTTCTCCATACTGGGACTTGAACTCTGACCCCTTGGCCATTCAGCCTGTAGCCAGCCACTATACCAACTGATCTATCCCAGGGGGACCTGGACATTCTCTACATGATCTGCAGTCAATTTGGTCAAATCTAGTGAGATAAGGACTGTGAGCTGCATATGGCCTTACTTAAAGTGCGTTACTCTTCATCCTTCTCAGGGTAAAACTACTTCTTGCTACTTGCACCCTGCTACTTCTTGCCACACTTCTCTAGTGCAACCCCAAAGGCCAGGACAAAAAATACACGTAGACTGAAAGTGAAAATGAGAACTGAGGACTGGAGGACAGTTATGATTAACAAAGGTCCATTTACTACAAAGACAATTTTAGAGAGAATTTATTAACGCTATAATGTACGGTAAGGTAAAGCTGTCACTGCACACAATTAATTGAACACAGCCACGGAGATATACAGTGGAGTAGAGGTACAGCTCCACGATTCTGCTCTATATAGAGGTGAGTGGTCAGCTCCGTGCCCTTACCACTTCACCCCTGTGGAAACAGCCCATTGAGCAGGAGGCTGAGTGGGTCCCAGGGCTATTCTGATCACTATGGGGAAGAGAAAAATCTCCTGCCATTGTCAGGAATAGAACCCCAACTACCCTAGCCACAGCCTATCACTGTGACAACAAACCTTATTCAGGATAGTCAGTCTGAAGGCTGGGATCAGAACATGAGGCAAGAGTCCTGCTCAAATTATATCATCTATACATGGCAGCATACATATCTCGAGCCCCATTTACATTTCTCTTGTGAATAACTCTGACAGGAGGAATCCAAATTAGGCAGTTTTTGTACTTCTACATCACTGTCAACATTAAATCATCATAAAATAAAAACAGACAAATTATGAAGTCACACAAGGTACCATATTTCCTACATGAGACTTCAGTCTTATGCATTATGACACCATGCAGTTTTGTTGGTGGGTATAAATATTTCAGAAGAATCTGCTTACTTCATTCTCCCTGAAGTTACTAGCCACTTTTGTGAATTATCTACAGCATATGTGAGGGTACCTTGAGTAGGCAACCTTAAGGAAGAAAGTCTCATGTGTTCAACGAGATCTCTGGTACCCACCATATGTTGAAAATAGAATCTAGTAACTTTCTAATCATAATGTAATGATTCATGTTAATATCTGATGATTATGCATTCTCACAGATGTTTTAGACACAGGGCTCAGATGCTGTCATAACCCAGAAAACTGCAGCCTCAACTTCAGTTTCTCATCAGGGGAGGAGAAAGTAAGTAGCCCAAAACTACAACACTTCTACTTGTCTATCTAGTATCTACAAAATATAAACAATGAAACTATATGAAATATTTTAACTCTTATAGATAAAAAGAGTAGATATCAATAAAAAAAATAGTTCATGACCCAGGGACTACAGGGAGAACACTTTAGCTTATAGCATCAAATAAGATTTGAGGGGATTCTGAAGATGAATGTGGCATGTTATGATACAGCAAACTGACTACTGCTGTCAATAAGTACGATATGTATCAACTACAAACTGGGCAGATAGAGTGAATTTTCGAATCTGCACTTCCAAGTTTTACATTTTCCTTATTTCACACACTTTTCAGAACAATGTTACATTTTAAATGAGTTTATGTTTCCTCAAAAATTTACATTATTAACAAATTTTCACTTCAATTTTTGAGTCTCGGCTATGAAAATTTACCTGACTCTATGCCTGCAAAATTGAAAAACACGGTGGCACTGTTCCCATAATGTTCGAGGTCTGTGCTGGTAAGGCAACTACATCTTCGCATATGAAAGGTCTGAATGTGAAGCGAGAGAGCTCAGACAACTTCAGACACAAACACATTTCTATGTGAGTAGCATACAAGAAAACACAGATGACTGCAGCTGGCCAGCTCCAATATTTACATCTCAGTATCATAAGTGCATTCTTTGCACTACAACCTTTCATTTCTGTGATTTTATACTTTTCGCAATTTTAGGTTTATTTTTGACGGGCCCTTCAAAATATATTGTTACTTCAGGTTACTTTATAACTCTGTCAGTATCTAGACCAGATTTTTTCAACCTTTTTCAAACTCAAGACACACCAGAAAACGCATTAAAATTGTCATGGCCCACCATCAATATTTAAGGACTTTACCATTAAAAATGAATAATGAGATTGTGTTTAAAAGCTCCATAGCTAAAATTCTAATCATCATGTTATTTTTAAAAATAATGTTGATCATCGATCTTGACGATTTTTTATCCATCATTTTTCTCACGCTTCTCTTTGACCTTCCCCCAGAATTCCCGCGACACACCTGTGGACCCTTCACATGACACCAGTGTGCCACAGCACACAGGCTGAAAATCACTGATTTGTACTATACAGTGCTGTATGGCAGGACAACAGATAAATGAGGCATTGGAAAGGATTTACAAGGAAGTGGCAATGGCCTAACTCAAGTATTATCCCAGCATTTGCCCAGAGGGATTTTGAAAAACCATAAAAAAACCTCAGTCAAAACAGTCAGTGTCCTGGGCCGAGCTTCAAACAGAGAACCTCCAAAAATTAGAGTCTAGGGCATTACCACTACATTAACCTGCTCAGTCAGAAGTGCAAAATCAAGGTTCCACTGCACTGTACAATCACTAAATAAGAGAAATACTTTAACAAATATGGAAACAAAGTACCACAATCACAAGCAACTGTCACACATAGACATTTCAGGATGCCAACTGTTCTGGTAACACATTTCTGAAGCATATATTGAAACGAACAAGCTTCAACCATGAATACAGTACAAAGAGTAAAGTAATTATTAGTTCAGTACAAACAACTGTATGACCTTATGATAGGACAAAAGCTTTGAGAAGGGCGTTACAAATAAAATCTAAAGGAAAGAGATCTATGGGATGACCAAGAACAAGATGATTAAACCAGGTAATGAAGACATGAAGAGGAAAGGGCTGGCAAGAAATTCAGAAGGTAAGATTTTGGGAAACAAGAAGAGATTGGAGATATTTAATCCATCAAACCACGTACAAGTGAAACAATGCTAGAAGAAAGAGGGAACAGAAAATAAAGTTACCATTGTTCAGACACAGCGATAAGGAAAATACCCTGGGATTGAATAAATGTAAATGAATTTCGGTTGAACATGTACAGATGGGCTCTCAACCAAGATAATCCCCTCACTTGGAGCTCTGGCGAAGGGCCCCACAATATTCCAATACAAAAACTACTTTGTTATGAAGTCAAACAGAATTACATCAGACTACAGTGGATGGAAGGCAAAAAGGGATTGGAACCAGTACTTTTTTTTAAATGTTTGTCACATATCTCATGATGCATTGGCAGATGTACATCTTTTTGGAAAGTTTGCCAGCATGCACACTGGTGCTTACCAGACAAAGAAGGAAAAAAAGCACTGGTTATTAAAAAACACACAGAAGGGCTGGAATCACTCTGAGGTCATTGACTTCAAGTGTTTCCTCAATCTCGAAAATCTGAGACTTGCACATGCCTAAGAAAATACACACAATGATATGACTGCAAACAGACTGGATGTCAAGTGAAAGCTAAAGGAGGAGTTCATCTTCGCAGAAGTTACCATACCTGCTGACAATAATGTAGTGCAGAAGGAAGCTGGGAATAAATCAAAACATCAGAATGTCAGTATAGGAACATATTGCAGATCAAACATGAGAGAATACATTGTATGAGCAGTCACAGCTGTTACTGGATCCAACAGTCTAAAGCCCTGGAAGAGACATCTGAAGCTTACGTGAGCAAAAGACACTATTAAGTTATGACACACATATGCACATGCACAAAACTGGAAGCACAAAATCTGTGTATGTTTTACAGAAAGTATTGCCTACATCATCATTTCTGCTTCAAGTAGAATAACAAGGTAAATTGGATCATGTTTACAAAGAAAGTAGGTACTATTAACACTCTGACTGCCAAGACTCATCAGAGAAATGCTACATATGTCAACCCACTTAGGGGTAAATGCAGGTTCACAGAGAACTCACAATACTTTTCTCAAATAACCCTGAAACAGCAGTAGGTATAGGCCAAATGAAAGCTTGTTCTTCCTCTAACCGTTCAGCGTGGTTTGACGTGTATGTTTCGTCAAGGTATTTAAATCGTCTGCGGGGGTTCGACGTCAATGTTTCGTCCAGCTGCACACCTATGTTATAACGCCCATAATAATTGATGGTTTTGCTGTAGATTGTTAGATTTTTCGCTGGCCTGTTGTCAGGAGAACTATATTTAATGAGACACGAGTTTAGGAGCGCTAAGTCATCGTTACATATGCCTGTCTTGCAGCAAATTCCTGTTGCTTCTGGTAGAAGTTTCCTCATTCAAACTGTTATGAATGGCGTGTTTTCTTTCCTATGAAGTTATAAACAGCAGACACGTGATATGTGATGTGTTTATAATATCATATTGCCCTGAGCTGGCCACACTAACACACTCAATTGGAATTCTTAGAAGAGGGATGTCCAAATTTTATTCTTGCAAGATCGATTGATTTCGCACAGTACATGGCAGCCAGTTCTTAGAAAAACGCCACAAATTAAGGCAGAACACTGTGGTCACCCCCTGTGATGATACGGGTGTGTGTGGGGGAGGGAAAAGAACTCATTCCTCCAGTTGACTCCATTTTATCGTACTGACCTTGGTGGTCGTTTCGAGGGATGACCATAAATATTTTTTTGAGCCAGCTAAGCTCTGCTTTCGTTCACTACATACCAGCCAGTTCTTAGAATAACTTCATGAATTCTGTGGTCACCCCTACGACGTCTTATGCCGCCAAAATGGATGGAAAATGAAACGCAGAAGCACCAACACTTGTTATGATAACATAAAGGTTGAATTTACTGCAGCTAATCTGGCTAGCGATATGACTCATGGAGAGACATTACTTCTTGTATTCCCCCCACGGGGAAGAAGGCAAGGCCGCACAGAAGATGTTTGGTTTACGGAAAAAAGAGCCAAATGAGAGATACGCAGTACTGGTGTGGTGAATGTGAGACAGCGCTGTGTATAGTAGAATGCTTCAATGCGTACCATACTCCGCTCAAATTCTGAACCACCTGCTTCCTTTGCCAAGATACCGGGTGCTCATATCATAAGGCAAGGTTATAAAACCATCTTTTAAGATCATTTTAGTGAAAGTTTCATGCTTCAAGGCGTACGATACACTGCTCAAATTCTAAACCAACTGCTTCCATTGCCGAGATACCGGGCGCTCATATTATAAGGCAAGGTTATAAAACCACCTTTTAAGATCATTTTAGTGAAAGTTTCATGTTCCTATCTCATATAATTTAAGAACAATGATGAATAAATCATTTTCGAGCAAAATTTAAATGGACGGCTGAATATATTACCGCCGGAGAGACACGGCAGCGGAATTTAAATGACCGCGCAAAAGGGCTAAACATCAGTATGTGACACATGATAGCACCTACTGACAGAAATGCTATACTAAATGGTTAGTGAAGAGCTGCTCTCCTTGGCTGTGACGGTTTTATAACAAGAACCCAAAGTCAGTCAGTACATAGCACGCAATGGCTTAATAACAATGATCAAAATATCCCGACACATGTAATTTATTTTGTTCTCTGGATGGGATGTACATCACATTGCCAATTATCCCCACTTTACCTTTGCCACTTCTGTTGACAGTGTCTGTACCTGTTGCACCGTATTTTTTTAAAGCTCCCCTGATCCTGTGAAGCCTCAAATTCCCCTAAATAAAATTTTAAAAAGCAGTTCCTACCTCACAGAATACACACTGTGTCTCCATTACAAATTTCAAACAGTTACCAATTAATGGGCTATGATGCACTATTTCCGATTTTGCTACATGCCCCTTATAAGTCATGGAACAATTATCTGTTGTGCAATATTTTAAAACTTCCATTCACTTCCTATGCATCATACTAGCAAGCAATAAGATAAATACTGCCATCTTTTGGCTCTCTCTCACAACTGCCTTTAAAGAAGTACCAGATGTTGACTATAATTACTGCATCTGATGTAATCCCCATGCAGAAATACTAAAATGGGACAGCAGGCTCAGTCAATGAACACCAGAGCTTAGAAAGGAGAAAGGAAGCAAAGCAGAGGGAAGAACAGTAACGCAGTTCTAAAGCTAAGATTGTTGCTCGTCAAGTGTTGTCATGTGCCACTTGAACAGGAGAAGTAACGTTCTCACTTTGTAAGAAGGGGAGAATAAAATTTGCTTTTCATGAGAGTGGAGAATTTTCCTCTGCTAAGGAGTTAGTCATCAAACTGAATGAAGCTATGGGTTTCAAAGCAGTGAGACAATGATGCACAGAAACTTTAGATCCATGACTTTTAACTATGAAGATGCAATGGCGCTGAAAGATACCAATGGAATGCAGTAATATTGCAGCTGTTATGGCAACATTCTTATGAAATGAGACAAGTTGGGTTTGTAAATGTGTACTGTTTATATGAAATGTAGGTGAATCGAAACAACACTTACAAAAGTTGCCGGGAGATAAATGAAAGGTCAGGGGATTTAAAAGCTGTATCAGGTGACACAGTTCATTCCAGAAAAGAAGTCAATTTTTTGGTCAAAATCAAAAAGTTATGCTGATTATGATGAGAAGATAAAAGGTGAATGATTTAAGAACTGATTCTGAGATCAGTTCCCACTGTGCTTTGTCCTGAAGTCTATCACTGTTACGGATCATGTCACCTGTCATTCTGATGTGTTGGAGAAGCCCCCAATTGCAGGTAGCAAAATGTAGCTACACACAGCTGCTATTACAGCCTGGCTGTACGTTACAATATACAAGACACATGGCAAAATGGACAAACTGGAAGACAATGCAAGACATCACAGTCAACAAACAGTGAATTCACCACTTATCATTGCAATCCTACCAACTCAACGTTTCAGGAAGAAATAGCACTGTGACACATTGGCTCAAATTCTGGAACAAGAATGAATATGCATTACGAGGTTATGACACAGTAAACAAGCAATGGTGTAATTAAACAAGCATTCGTTGTTACTCAACAGTCAGTAACCATCACATGAGCATAGCAACAGCTATGCACACAACAATAGAGTAACTGTTGGAAATGGTATTTTCTGTGGGGTCTGCCCTGAAGCTATATATCAGGAACCGAATTTTAGCTGGAAGGAGTTGAGAAGGCAAAGAACCCCATGTGGAGACGGGATCGAATACCGCCACCGTGAGCCTGCGAGTCGTAGGAGGTGATGAAAAGGGAAGTCTCAAATCTGAGAGAGTAAAATATGGTCGCAAGTCCCAAGGAACTCGGTCCCAAGAAAGACTGCACTGGCAAGGGCCAGCAGCATATACAAAAGACAGACCTGTCCTCTCATCAGAGAGGGTGCCCTACAGAAACAAGACCGTAACTGTCAAATGGTAGTAATTAATATCTGGTCATGAGCCCCAGATGGGGCTTGGCACCAAGACTTACTGACTGACTGTCAGTCACAATGTGACTTTGACTTTGACTTTGAAGGCGAAGAGACACTTAAGAGTTACCACAGTGAGTAAGGCCGTGCCATAGCTCAAGCAGTTAGTCGCTGGCTTCCCACCGCGGCGGCCCAGGTTTGATCCCGGGTCTGGTCAAGTGGGATTTGTGGTGGACAAAGTGGCGCTGGGGCAGGTTTTCTCCAAATACTTTGGTTTCCCCTACCAATCTTCATTCCACCAATCACTCCACAATCACCCTAACTTATCAATACAATATGCCAGAAGTGGCCGCAGTACAAGGGACTTAGTCCCACCCCACTTGCAATAAAAAATATAATAAAGCCATGGGTTAGTTGTGAGGCAGTCGCCAGCCAGAGAGGACGTGAAACTACAAGCTGAAGAATCTACAGCATTGGAAGCCAATACCAGGCAATGACTGGTGAAGCCTAGAAGGGTTAGTGTGAGTTGTAGTGAACTGTGGTGTGACTATAGTCACCTGCAGTCATGTGTTGTAAGAGTCCAATAAATCCAATTACCAATCCAAACCCTGTGTCTAGTCACTTAACACATGATAATACTTTTAAAATTGTTGCATTGAGAGACCATATCATGAAGCCACAGACCACATAAAAATTTCAGCTCGGAAGAACTGCATCTCACATGCAGAGAACCTGACGGGGGAGGAATCTGTGATAGACATGTTCCTGGAGACCACCATCATCCACCTTATGGAATCGGACTTTGATAATTCACACACGTGACAATACCTATTAAATATGATATAATAAATGCTGTTAATCACACTGCGCAAACAATAATGATGCCATAATTAAATGCTCAATAACATGTGACATAAGTAAATCTTAACATGAAATGTACAGAAATACTGCAATTTAGTAGTTCCATCTTGATTCATGCAGGCTGCTATAGAGGCTTTCCATCAAGCATAGCATCCAATATTGATGCAACATAAAAGATATGTTTCATGAAGCTCTTCTACATAAGCATGAAAATGACAATACAGAGAGTACTGATGGCAAAATTATTACTATGCACATCACCCTATTGGCGCACTGTGTTACAATAATCACATGCTACATCATTATGATTTTTTCATTTGCCATACCAATCTGCTGGATGCCATCCCTGCCGACACTGCTGCTTCCACTGTGAGCTGGAAGCACAGGACTATCTCCCGAGAAGTCGGGAGGTTGCATTCGTGCTGGCAATGTCATGGCCTTTGTTGTGCCTGGCTTACCACCTGCCTTCCCTGCTATCTGGCGCTTGCCTGTGTACTTAAATTGGTGAAGACACATTCTGAAAGAAATTTTCTTTATTGTATGAGGGTAAGTCAGTAAATAGTTCACAAATTAATATAAAACATAAAACATGTGACATTCAAACCTGGGAAAAACATTTATTTCTGCACATTTCGGCCACCAACACTGATACACTTGTCCCACTGCTTTAACAGTACATAGCTAGACGTCTTTTGACCGTTGTCTCAGCCACTTCCACATCTCCATTTCAACCTCTTCATCACTGAGAGGATTTTTTGACCAAATTGTGAACCGCTTTATATGACAAACACTTCCCACCATAAACAGGAAACATTTATTTATGAATATCCTTTGCATAAAGTCCTTTTACCCACAAAAAAAAACACAACAGAACAATGCTCTTAAATAGTACAAGCCTCGAGCACAGTCGCCATAGTGACTACTAAAACCAGCCTCTGAGCACACACATCTTGTCTGCTACCTATAATGTCATGAAGGTGGACTGTGCTGCTACCTAGTGATACATATAGAAAAATTATTACATCCATTACAGATGTTTTCCTTCCATTTTTGACCTATTTACTGACTCTCCTTTGAAAACAAACCTAAAGGTTTCTGATGAAGCGGTGTTATTAATCTGACAAAAATATTTCTTATCGCTTCATTTCTGTTTGCAAACCAGTTCCAGACGCTGGCTCTGCTTCCATCATTAGGTGAGAGTATGAAACCTACTCTTGTGAGTCCATTCCATGGAGCTGATTTCTATCCCCAGATGTCAAGGCACTATCCCGACTCTCTGTTCCAAACGTGACATATACAGCAATATGCCATTTGTTTCCTCTCATCTTAAGATTTCATCTGCCACTGCCCTGAGTGAACCTGCCCTATACAAACTTCGAACATTCCAAGTTTAATTGACGCAAGTAAAGAGGTTGGTCTAGAAGTAAACAGAGAAAATTAAGTATATGTTGCTATCTCATCACCAAAATGCAGGGCAAAATCATGACATAAATATAGGTAGTAGATGTTTTGAAAATGTGGCACAGTTCAGATATTTGGGAACAACGATAACAGATCAAAACCTGATTGAGGAGGAAATTAAGAGGAGATTGGACTCGGGTAATGCTTGCTACCATACAGTCCAGAACCTTTTGTCTTCTCGTCTGCTGTCCAAAAACGTAAAAATTAGAATATACAAAACTATAATTTTGCCTGTGGTTCTGTATGGGTGTGAAACTTGGTCTCTGACATTAAGGGAGGAACACAAACTGAGGGTGTTTGAGAACAGGGTGTTGAGGAGAATACTTGGACCGAAGAGAGATGAAGTGACAGGAGGTTGGAGAAAACTGCATAATGAGGAGCTTCATAACTTGTACTCTTCTCCAAGTATAATTATAATGTTCAAGTCAAGGAGGATGAGGTGGGCAGGTCATGTAGCATGAATGGGAGAGACAAGGAATGTGTATAGGATATTGGTGGGAAAGACAGAAGGAAAGAGACCACAGGGAAGACCAAGGTGTAGGTGGGTGGACAATATTAGAATGGATCTTAGAGAGATAGGATGGGATGGTATAGATACATCTGGCTCAGGATAGGGAACAGTGGAGGGCTCTTGTGAACATGGTAATGAACCTTCAGATTGCATAAAATGCTGGGAAATTTTTGAGTAGCTGCAGAATTGGGGGCTCCTCCAGAAGGGCTCAGCTCCGTGAGTAAGTAAGACAGGAGTACCAACATGGATCAGGGCAAGAGCAGAGAAAATTTAAATCTAAACCCTTCTAAGGAATGATAATAACAGAATAGTTGTGGGCACATTTTGTGAACAGAGATAGAACTCCAAAAGAGTTTAACAGGTTCTGAGCATGAAAATAGAAGCAAAATGTTAAACAGGGAGATCAGATCAAGATGAAGAAAACAGGTTAGGAGAGATAATATGGAAGGAAGGACACAGTAAAAAACTGGGGGGGGGGGAATCAGAGGGAGAGAGACACAGATGGAAAGGCTTAGTTATTAGAGGGCAATGTATAGTGGCAATATTTGGAGGATAAAAAATATATAAATAATGACAGCACTGTAAAGAAACCCACAAAGAAAATCCAATATGGATTCTGTAATATTTAAAAATTACAGTTAGAGATACAATACTTACTCTAAGCCCTTGAAGAAATTCATCACCTCCGTTTCGGTGCATTGGTGCCACCATGCAATTAAGCAGTCATCCCCAAGGTACTTGACAACAAACAGGAAGCAGAGTAGGAGATCCTTTACTTCAGCTGACTGCAGTTTATCACAACGCACAGGCTGGTTCGAGTGTGTCACACTCAGTGACCTGGTGAAACACATAACTTACCAGAAGCAGTTCCTTATAAGCACGCACAGGAATTTACAGGTCCCATACAGGGTGACTCACTCAGAGGAGGCCACAAATTAACTATCTTAAATTGCAAAATAATTTAGCAATGAAAACAAAAACCACATACTTTGCAATACTGACCCAGCACCCACATATCTGGTTCACACTAC